GGCTCAGGGCACCTGCATGGCTCAGTTGGTTAAACATTCAACTCTTGATACCAACTCAGGTCTTGATCTCAGAGTCATGAGTTCAAGCCCCATGACTTAACCACAAAAACAAAAAAGTAAGACTGGCTCAGGCCTCCAACTTGCCTACCTGGGTCAGCCCCTGAGAAGGAGAAAACATCCCATACAGGTGGAGGGTAGCATGGACATGGTTAGCCATGGGCTCTGATGTCAGACTCAAATCCCAGATCTGCCATTTACCAACTGGTTGTACCTGAGGAAGTTCTTCAACTGTTCTGAACCTTACTTTCCTTATCTACAAAATGGGGATATTAACAGCGCCTACACTCATGAGGTTGTTCAGAGGAATAAATGAGGTGGCCTATGAAAAGCCCCTAGTGCAGTTTTAACACATAATAAAAGCCGTGACATGGTGGTTTAGAGGGGACCTGGGGCCAATTTGCCTGGGTTCAAATATGAGATCTGCTAATTCCTAAGTGTGTGCCCTGAGGCCGATTACTTAACTTCATGTTGCAGTTTTCTCATCTACAAATAGTTGTATAGGATGGTTCTGAGAACTAAAGTTATTATACGAACAGAATTCAGTACATAATAAGTACTCAATAAATGTTGGCTAATTTTTTTCTTGGGGTTCTATTTAAAGCTATCTTCTTCATTCCCAATTACCTTAATCAGTCTGGGTCTAGAAAACTCTTGCCTTTGTTTTGAGTTCTATACAGACAGTGATACTGAGTCTCATTTTCTAATGCACTCACCTCTGCATTACCCTGGAACCCAACCCAAATCTAGAAGTCTAGCGATTCCCGATGGTATAGATCTTGTCTGAGCCATAGCCTTTTTCCCCCCCTATAACCACATGATGCCTCTTGGGTGCTGCACATAGATGCATGCATACAGCAGATACTCAAAAAAAAAAAAAAAACTAATAAAAAAATGAAACCTTGGTGATCTCCTCTGTGTCCCCTTCTACCTTTTCTCCTTGAACTTCTTAGGAATGGCCCAAATATTTGTGTTCAATTCTTTAACTTGAAGCCATCCTATCTGAAATGGTCTTGTCTCATTTAACTAAACATCCCATAAGCTACTTAAGGTAACTTCCCTGGTGGGGGCTGAGTGCTATCAGCCCCTGGAATAACCAGTATCATGAAAAGAACATCAGACACTGCCAATTTTTGTCACCTGAACCCAACAGTGGCACATATGATTAGGAACACAAATGCTGGAAAAGAATCCGGAGAGTAGTAAACACCATTTTAGGAGCCTTGGAACTCGAGAGGGAACTTTTATACCCCTAAATAATTAAGAATAGTGGGAGATTAGCTCTGAAAAAAGAAAGCTCCAAAGAAATTCTTCAGTTGCTATAAGGAATTAAGAAGCTTTTCTTAGTCTTTCTTAACAACTGGTCCCACTTTTCAATGTACCCAGAGAAAATCTTAACCATCTCCAAGGTCACTTAGGGAATCTGGATCAGCCCTGCCATTTCAAACTACAGGTTCTTCCCCATATTAGGACATCTAAGAGAACAATGTTAATGAATTCTGTTCATCTTTAACACAACTCTCTCTATAGGAGGAGAGAAAAAAAATCTTTTTCTTTTGTCTTTGCCTTTTGCTTTTAACAATATGTAGCTACAAAAGTAGCAAAGGAAAAAGAGGGATTATCTTTGCTGAAGTTTCCTTGCCAACAAAAGCACTCTGTTCTTGGGGTCATGCCTAGGAGAGAGAAGGGACTTTTAATGGAGAGATGTCTTTGGACACTCACCATAGTTTGTCAGTTGCAGATGCTAATGGAACCAGGCTTGACGACTGAAGGGGAAAATGGAATATGAAAGCAAAATGAAATAGGCCTATGAGGCAAGCATGTCATTTCTAAATGAAGGTTTCATGCAAAGGAGTTGAGTCTTTTCACAGCTGAAAATGGAATCTTTAAATAAGATAAAATAAAAGGATGCTTTGGCTTGTTGCAGGTTCTGTAATGAAATACAGTTTTCCTAATACCGTGTGACCTGCATTTCTCCCTGTTTTATGGGTGCTATTCCTTGACGTACAAACCCGTATTTTCTCAAGTCAGCATTTGATGATGGATGTCAAAATACAGGCCATGTATTATGCATATAGCATTACCGATTTAAGGTGTTTACTTGTCAAGTTGAAGAAATTCAAAAACGTCACCTCCACTGAATCTGCACAGCTGTCACTTGCAGTTTTTCATGCTTTTGAATGAAACTTCTGATGAAAACAGTTTAGTTTTCCCCTTCGCTATTCTGGGGAAGAAAACAGCTAGCATTTAAAATGCATGTTCTTGGTTATGTGGTTGGCTGAAAAATAGACATTCCAAAGTTTAGAAAGATGGACATTACACTGTCACTCGAAATTACTTATCTTATTCACATGTATCAACACAAAGAATAAAATTAAGTGCAATCAGAGAATGAATAGTAAATAAAACTTTTCTTTTCTTTCTGAAAGTATGGCATTCAGTAGTATGAAATTTATACATAGGAGAGCAGAAAATAGGAAAACCCTTTTATATTTTGCTGGCATTTCATGCATTATGCACCTCCAAAACAACAAGCAATTATTAAGCACCTGTCATTTCATTCCTTATAGATAGAGCTTCACACATACCATAAACCAGAATCAATCCAACATTGCCACATTACTGGAGAGTAAGTCAGGAATCTGGCCACACAGTCTATTTGGAATTTTGTCCTTGGAGACTTAGCAAGTGACTTTGTATCGGTAAACCCTTAATTCACTGATAAACCCATGTAGCCAATCCCCCAAGGGCAAAGAAGAGAAACCAAGTGAATGTGAACTTCTATCTGCCTGTCCTCTAGGGTCAGGAGCAAATTGGGTCTTGCAACCAGCATAGAGTTGATGGTAGCCCTTGCAATGTGCTTGACTTGATACAATTAATTTTCACCAAATGAATATATGAAGTCAATAAATGTCTCATGTTTATAGATTTCTATGCACATCCTCAAAGAAGCAGCCATTCAGCCTTGAGGTTATAGTTAGGCCAAGTTTGTTCTAATATATGCTGGGATTTGGGTCTGAAACACCCAAATGGCAAAAATCAGAAACCAAGTAAGCTACTTTCCAATTTACTATGCCCATGTTTACCATGTGAGGTCTGTGTTAGGCACACTGTGGGGGCTTCAAGACCCCTACAAGCAGGGGGCATATGCAAGAGTCAGGATGACGTCAGCTGCATGTGAAAAGAAAAGAAAACAAAACTCTTCATTTGGGATTACACAAAAGGAAAAATATGTACAGTTGGCCCTTGAACAATGGAAGAGTTGAGGGATGCCAACCCCCCACTGCACAGTTGAAAATCCATGTATAACTTTTGAGTCTCCCAAAACTTAACTGCTGATGGCTTTCTGTTGACTGGAATCCCTACTGATAAATAGTCATGAAGCCTACATTTGGTATGTTGTGTGTATTCTTACAATGCACACTATATTCTTACAATGCAGTAAGGTAGAGAGAAGAAAATGTTATTTAGAAAGTCATAAGGAAATTACATTTACAGGACTGCATTGTAGTTATCAAAAAAAAAAATTCGCATATAAGGTGACCTGCATAGTTCAAACTTGTGTGTGGAAGAGTATATATAAAATTGTGTGTGTGTGTGTGTGTGTGTGTACATATAGTGTGTGTATGTATACAAAACAAATCTAACCAACCTCGAGTTTTTACCATAAGAAATATATATATAATCATTATATATGTAAAATATACATAATTATCATATTGTATATTATAATCTTATTTGCATATACTGTATATAAAATCTCATGTAGTGAGAAATGGTTAGTTGGTAGTTGGTTTTGGTTCTATGGCTGGCTAATTCAGTAACTCAACAATAGTTCTTTTTATTTTATTTATTTGTTTATCTATTTATTTACTTATTTTTTGAGAGGGAGAGAGAGAGAGAGGGAGAGAAAGAAAGAGAGAGAGAGAGTGCAGAGGAGGGAAAGAGGAAGAGAGAGAATCAAGCAGGCTCGATCCCATGACCCTGAGATCATGGCCAAAATCAAAAGCCTCATGTTCAAAAGACCGAGCCACCCAGACACTTCTCAAGGATAGTTCTTTCTATCATTAAGTCTTTCCAGCATTCAGTTCAGCCAGTCTCATTAACCTGGCTTTGTCTCAGCTGGTGCCACCGTAGTTGCAAGATGCTACCGCAGTTCCAGGCACTACAGGTGCAAGAGCAATGTCCAGTGAATTAAAAGAGGATCTCTTCCTATGTGATTCTTTTTAAGAGCAAAGAAACACTTCCTTAAAGTCTCCAAGCAAACTTTCTCCCACTTCCCTTTGGCCAGAATCTGTCAAAACCCCTGGCTTGAGTCACCCACTGACAAGAGAAGAAGTAATCAATTGGTTTATGGTAATAGTCAGGATAGGTTAGGCTATGCTGTGACGACAACAACAAAGCAATCCCCAGTGTCTTAAAGCAGCAAGATCACCTCTTCACTCACTCAGAATGCTTTGTGATCTGGGTTACTGTACAAGGCTGCTGTCCAGCCTTCGTCTCCATAGTAACTCACGTTCTCATGGTTGCCACAGTCTGGGAGGAGAAGCAGAAAGTCAAATATTTGTACCAGAAGCAGTGGAATACACTGTTGTGTTCACTTTTCATGGGCCAAAGCATTTCCTATGCCACATGGAGGCACGGAGGTACAATCCTGTTGTCTGCCTGGAAGGTGAGGGGAACAAAAAAATCTATGAGCAAAAACAATAACTGACGCAGAGACTCATTTTTAGTGAGCTATCAAGGCAGGTTAGAATTATTTATACTGGCCTCTTACTTTGTCATTCACAAAAGCAACACACAGAGTTCATCCTGGAAGTGCTAATTGTTGATCTGTAAATAATGCATAAACAACTCTTTCTTTGAGTGTGTATGTATATTATGTTATTCCCAAGCTCTCCATGTCTCTGACTTTTCTCCCTTCTCTCTTTCTTTCGTACTAGGGTTTACACCTCCAGGAATGGACAGATCCTCTCCAGATAACAGCCCAGTGCACGGGATGTTACGCCAGCCATCCATCACAACTGGAGTCAACATCCCCATCATTACTGAACTAGGTAGGGATGAATGTCAGCTTTGGGAAGATTTTGTTGTCCTCTCTTCCAACCATGTAGGATATGAGGTTACCCTGTTTCTTAGCTCCTTTAGCATAGTCGGCTCTAGTAGGGTTGGTTTGGGTGGAGGTGGAGAGAGGTATGGGTAGTAGTATGACAGATTACCAAAAGGAAAACTGATCTATCTTTCCTTTGACATGAATAGACAGTTTCCTTCATGCTGGTAACTGTTCTCAAAGGAGCTTGAGATGATGGATTTGAGATTGGGGCATAAATTAGGGAAGCGGGAAGAAAGGAGGAAAGGCGTAATCCATGGACTCTTCTGGTGATTTACGTTGGAAGCACCTCCAGACAGCTCTTGCAATCAGAGCCCTCCACTGAGGTACAAAGCCTCAGGTCTAAGCCAGACCCATTCTGAGAATGGGCAATGGGCATTTAATCCATCCTAGCTGAACTTCTCAGCTAAAGGTCATTTTCAGCGAATGCTATTCTGACCTAAAATATGATGGGTTTTGAAGGGCCATGATTACCAGCCAGTGGAACCCAACTTTTAACCCGGCCATGGCACTCCTTCTACTATTTGTGAATTTGCAAAGCTGCTGAGTGGTCTCTTCCCTAAACCCCAAGACAATACTAGCCATCTCTGGTGCTGGGTCCCCTTACCTTACAATGTGTTCTCTGTTATTCCCTCACGCTCTTCTTTTTCTGTACTTTCCTCCACTCCCTTTCCCCAACCCTTAAATGCTGTATCCAATTAGCTAAACCTGGCAAGTTGCCTTTGGTATCAGTCAATCAGGAAAAAAACAGTGGGACGCACATTCTAATGATAACTGAACTGGGTAAGAAGCACTGTTTTCCTTCACATCAGTATCTCCTTTTGTTCTGTTGTTGGTGTTTCCAACTATCATCGGCTTGTTTTTTATTTCACGGGCTGTAATAGAAAGACTACCCCATGGCACTGCTTTGAATGTGTTTTATTTGTGGCTCTGGTTGGAATCGACTGTCTTGTTCTGGCCTTTTTTAATGATTTTTTTCCCCACACAGCATCAGTAAACCTTTGATCACACCCATCTGACCTGGCAGTTGTTTCCAAAGCATCTTTGCTCTAATTCATTTTCTTTGGCCTGGGCCTTTTTTTCTCCCCTTTCCATGTGTCCCCCTGCTCTCCCGCCTTCTCCCTTATATTCCTTTTCCAACACACTGTCAGTTTGACTGACATGTCTTCACAGCTCTCAGAGAAGTCAAAGGAGAAATATAAAAATTTTAAGATAAGAAACCTAAGACGGAGCCTTCCCTCCAGCTGTTTATTTTCCTTTATTCTGACTTTATTTGCCTTTTCCCCCCTTCTCAGAGGCCCTGGTTCTGAAGCCATAAAAGCAGCCAGATCCTATGGGATCTTTTCCTACAAAAGCCAGATTTCAAGAAGGGTGCCAAAGATGAGGTTAGCAGCCACTGAGGCACAGCCCTGCACTCTGACCCCCACCCGCCTGTCCTAGAGCCTCACAGAGATTCAGAGTGGACTCACCAGGAAGATGAAAGGTCTGGTCATGACTACATTTGTCAGGCCCTCCACACTTCCCCATGACTTGGTTAATAACTCTGTAAAAGGCACCCATCAGCTGCAGGTCTCAGAACTGGGGATTGATCTTCTAAATAGAGACAGCAAAAGTGCTGTTCTGCAGAGGGGTGGATAGAGAGGTGGGGAGCACCTGCCTTCGAATGACTCACAAATGAAACGAACATGCCATTCTCTTGGCCCCAAAATATATTTCAAAATAAGAGAGCAGGCTTTTAACACAGTAATCTTGCTTGTGAGGTGTCTAGAAACTAAGGAATAAATTGTCCACCATTCGGCACTGCATTATTGTAGACGTAGCTATTTATCAGGACAAATTCACTCAGGTCAAGGAGTATCACACTATTTTCTATTTCCAACAGTAGGAGAGGTGTCTTTTTCATGTTTAGAGAAGTTGGCTAAAAGCCTAGGTTTCTGGATTGCTCTTTTCAGGACCTTAGAGTTGTATGAGGCACAGGGAGCTCATGCAGCCCAGACCACTGGTTGGAAAATTCATCCAAATATCTCCATCTCAGAAACCTTCAGAGGCATTTCAGAATCATTACTGCCAGGAATTTGTTTTTCTGTTTGGAGTTCATGTGCTGCCAACTAACCAGGATATCTCGATTTGTGATTAGGAGAAGAGAAAAGAGAAGGCTTGGTGCCCCAAATCTGAGGCAACAATTCAGGCATTCAGTTAGCAAAACCGAATCCCCTGAAGCCTTTGTCCCTCACGAGATTTCTTCTGTGAGCTCAGAGAACCTTCCATGTGTTCACCTCACCCTTACTTTCTGCATTAAGCCCTATTTTCCTGGTGGTCATACCACCTTTGGCAAGCCGTCATCGTCCGACTGCTTCGCCTCCCTGCATCCCACAAATATTTACTATTTACCTACATGTTCTGAGACGTGTTCTGCATTATGCCAAGCCATTAAAATGCCTTCTAAAAAGCAGAGGATACCAGGTTTTTAAAACTGTGTGGTATATTCCAGTCTTCATCCCGTTGGAGAGTTTCAATTGATGTTAGAGGGTCAAAGGCTTCTAGAAGTTCCCCAAGAAGGATATTTGCTTAAAGCCCTACTTAACCTAGTTTCTAGTCATCTATGATCATAAAACATTTGGGGAGAAGGATTTAAAAATCACCTGTTAGCATCCACATAATGACTGCTCTGTGATACATACAGGCTTTGGGTAACACTGTCTGTTCTCCCTCTGAGACTCTCCCAGAACAATACACAGGATTTTCACTGGCCCCCTGGTTCCTGCCTTGGGATGCCTTCCCAATGACTGAAATGCCTGGCTCACTGACAGTCATGTCATCTCTCCCTCCTTGTGGCCACTTCCCCTCCAAGTCTACCACCAGCCCTTCCCAGTGGTCTTGAGAAGGGGTAACCAATGCTATACCTTTCGGAGTGTCAATGCACACGCCATCCTTGGCTAGCCTAAGTAATTAAAACCATGCTCCTCTGCGTATTGTCCAGAGTTCAAATTTTCTGATTCACCAAGCAGGAAGCCTAAACTGTGGCATCCAACATACTTTTGGGTAAATGGAGGTACCATTTGACTCTATAGAGTCCCTGAGCAAGCAAGAGCCTTGCTTCTGAGAGAGGCGGAAGGAAGCTGGGAAGTTTCATAATGTAGTAGGGTAGACAGATCATTTAATCAGAAAGGCAATCCTGCGAGCAGCTTACACTTGCCAAAGCCCTGGGCCACACTCCAAGTGCAATCTCGTAGGAGCCTCCTGACAGTCTTGTGAGAGCTGCTATTATTTCTCCCATTTTACAGAGAGAGAAGCTAAGGTGCAGAATGACGAGATGCATTGCCTGTACAGTTTGTACACAGCCTAGATTCAAAGCTTACTTGTCAGATCCCACATTTTGCACTTTTACCCACCAGCTGTGATTCAAGTGTTGCTGAGGCAAAGATGTTCCCCCATTAAATTTTTTCTCTGGGGAAACAAGATGGTGTCATTTAGAACTAATTCCATGCCTTGCCTTTTATCCTATTATCATTTATTCTGCTTTATACAATAAACAAGCGAAAGTTGGGGAAAAAGTTATCCAAAAAGTTACTTTCAGGAAACAAAAATTAAAATAATAACTCTAGGAAAGAGAATTCACTCCTGATACATTTAGAAAGGAATCAGAAAAAGGAAACCTCATCTATTCTTTTCCTAAAAGCACCATAATTATTCCAGAAATCACGAGCACTAATCTCCTCCCCCACCACACACTTTCTTTCCTATTACTTGCTCTGCAAAACTGATAATTTCTAAAGCCAAGATGGGAATGGAAATTAATTTGTCACTTAATTTTTAATAAGTTAAAGACATCTCAGTGACACAGCCAATCAGTCTGCACATGCCCGCCGGAGGAGTCCTTGAGGAATCCTCAGATAGAAATGAACTACAGCATCAAATGCTCCTTCTACTTGAGCTGCAGCACATAAAAGATTGAGCTGTTTAGAAGGGGAAAGGGAGAACGTGGGCGTCCCCCATGCAACTCGGAATGCACAGCAAGTCCTTGTCAGCAAGCAGCCAGAGACAGCCAGGATCCATCCCACCTGGGGTTACTGTTCTATCAAACAGGACCTGTCAGTGTGGGCCTGGATTCAAGGCTAGGGACATGAGGCCCTACCCAGGCCAACCCCGGGCAGCCTGTAGGTCCAGCCTACAGGTGAATTCCCTGCTATGCGCCTTTGCTGTGGCTCCTAGTCTACTGCTCTTCGGTCTTAATAAGTCGCTTTCTTTTCCTGTGCCTAAACTTAGCATCCCAGCATGGCTACTCATGGCTACTCATCCTTGAGATGTGTCCATGTCTCAAAGGACTTGGCTACCGAAAAACACCTCAGGGTGTTTTTTGGTCATGATTCTAAAACTATACCAAAGGACTGATCAGCACTGTCCAGCAGTTCTCCAGTGGTCTGCCATGGAGCAAGGCTGCTTGAACTCATTGCTCTCTGGGCTTGGGAAGCTTGAACAATCACATAGGAGCAGTCCATTGAGTCCACTGGCTCCCACCCCCAAGATTCATCTACAGCTTCTCCCATGCTTTTCTTTCCTTTTCAGTGACTTCAGTGTTGCTAAGCCAGTGGCCTGCTCTTTCTCTGGCTTCACTGTTTGTATGTGGTCTTTTGAGCTAATTCTCATTTTACACTTTTTCTAGTGAATGATACTAATGTTCAGTTTTTGGACCAAGACGATGATGACGACCCCGACACAGAACTGTACCTCACGCAGCCATTTGCATGTGGGACAGCATTTGCAGTCAGTGTCCTGGACTCGCTTATGAGTGCGGTGAGTGGGTGCGGGATATGGGAGTAGAGCGCCTCCAACCCCCAACATCGGTGGTCCAAGACTAGAGCATGAACTCTAGGGAAGAGCATGACCACACAGAGCTTGCAATCTAGAAGCAGATACCAACATTAGTCAGACTCTTGTGTAAATAAAAGTTGGATTATGAATTCTTGAAATTGTGAGGAAGATAAGGAAGAGGGGAGATTTTATGGGGAAGAGTAACCCCACCCCTACCCCCAAAGAAGGAAAGCAAATGCAAAGGCCTGGTGGTGAAGGAAACTGATCATCTTAAGGAGGCCAAAGAAAGCCTTTGTAGTTGGGCCATAGTGAGAAAGAAGAGGAGAGGATGAGGCAAGGTTGGACCTATACGACCAAGAAGCCCGTTTTCATGGCTTCAGTTTTTTAAGATCAATGAGGAGGCATTGAAGGATGGTTTTAAGCTGGCAAGTCATGTGATCAGGTGTATGCTTTAAGAGCATCATCTTGGCTGGTGTGTGGAGGATGGCTCTGGAGGCAAGATGGCAGCAGGAAGTCTGAGGCTACTAAAGTTTGGATGAGGATAGGGTTAGCAGGGCTAGAGGGAGATGGGAGCATCTAAGTAGTGTTGGTCAGGAAGACTGATAGGACTTGGGGATAGATTAAATATAAGCAGAAGATGGAAGAGGACAAAATGTGAAGGGTGACTCTTACGTCATAGATAGCCAGGTCACTGAAATATAAGTCCTGGGAGAGGACCATGCATGAGGATCAGGCCTGGCCAGTTCTCTGCTGCCAGGAAGGAATGACGTGGTGGTAAAGAGAGGAAAGTGGGTTATCTGAGGGGTCAAAGGCATCATTAATTTCTTTTATAATTTGATATGTACCAAACAAACAAGGCATTGTTTTTTTTTTTCACTTTTAGGACCAAAAACGAATAACAATTAAAAAGTAGGCACTAGTTCATCGAGCTATCTTAACTGAAAAAAGGCAAAAAGCAGACACTTGAGTAGGTTATAAGTGGGGATTGTGAGGTGCTCCCACTGAGTGTCTTTATTTATCATAGAGAAAAGCCTCTTTATTTTGGAATTCTCAAATTCACCACTTATGAAAATACATACATAAGCTGGATAAAAACTGACCTTTGAGGAATCCATGAAAAAGTTTTATTGAACACATTAAAGCCATAAACATAGCTTAGAGAGTTTTTATACACATACATATCTTAAAGTGCTTAAGAAGGCTATTCTCCTGAATGTGTTAAACAACTGATATGCTAATTATGCATTATTCTTCTCTATTCATTAAAACTAATCCCAGAAGAACTTCTATTTGAGGAAAGAAAAAACATAAAGCTTTTATTTTTTTTTTTTACATAAAGCTTTTAAAGACTAATTTAGGTTACTCTGTTTTCCTGAATGTGGTCCAACTGCAAGCATATCTTATTTAAAAAATTAGAATTATGGATGTAAAAATAATTATGAAACCCTATTCATCTGAATGAAGGTTGACTACTAGGCATCATGCCATATCTTTGCATGATGCCTAGTCAAGAAGGAGAAAAAAAGGTCATTAGACAAGGCACTCCTGGTTTTCCAGGATTTGGGATTTCATTCTGATGGCCTGATGGTTCTGGGCCCAACCATTCTCTACCTGCTAGTGATGTTGGGCCCAGTTTGGGCCAACTCCTTGAGCAAGCCAGAAGGAATGATAGAAGCTACAGGATGTGCTCATACAGTGCCAAACTGTCTGTACTGGTCTTCGGTTTCAAAGGGATTTCTTTAATTCATCTCTTTTAGAAATTTCATTTTACTTCCGATCCTAACTAGAGAGATTACAGAAGACTGATTTCCCTAAAAGGTGATTAAACTGTGGTTTTTTTTTTCAAGAGCTGCAAAATACTCTATTAACATTTTATAAAATCCAAACTTATAAAAATTTGTTTCTATGTATAAGACATTCAGGATATTCCAGGCTGAAATTAGCAAGGCCACTTTTTCATACATGATTAAGAATTTCAAAATGTGAGTGCAGAGCTTTAAGCCAAGCGAGGGCCCCCTTTGAGCATGGACCGTGGGTGACCCCACAGTCTACACACCCATGAAGCCAGCCCTTCATACCAATGAGCCGCTAAAATGGATTTTAAGCAACAAAGAACTTCACCCCTACACAACAGAAGGGACACTCGGTGGCTATGGGGTGGGGCTAGGGGGGCACATCTGGATCTGAGCTGCACAGCTATTTGTCTGTAGCCCCACCACGGAGTCAGTTTTTGGAAACTCAGATGAGAAATCAAAGTGGGTTGGTTTGAAATTTTTAAAAAGCCATCTCTAATCTCCTTTGAAATGCAAACTGAAGTGTCTGGGAGAGAGTGCCTAAAAGCATGTATGGATGCCAAGGGTCTGCCAGCAGCATTCCTTCTGAATTCCAGCCTGGGAAAAAAAAAAAGAGTATCGAGAATCTAGTAACTGTCATTGTAATCATCATTGGCTTCATTTATTGAGGGCCCAGAACTCTGCGAGGCACTTCAGCTACAGTGTCTGATCTTTTGGACAATAATGTGAATAAACCTGAAGCAACACATATTTAACCGATGCGCTGATGAGGACTTTTCAAATCATTAGTCAAAAAGCCCATCCGATTATTCCAGGCCTGGTTTTCCTTGTCTGGGATGAGCAAGTTCCACAGTGAGGTGTTTTTTTTTTTTCTCCCCCACACTCTCTATAAAGAGAGAGAGAGCACAAGCAGGGACAGAGGCAGAGGCAGAGGGAGAAGCAGGCTCCCTGAGCAGGGAGCTCCATGCGAGGCTCGATCCCAGGACCCTGGAATCATGACCTGAGCCAAAGCCTAACCAACTGAGCCACCCAGGCACACCCCCTCAGTGAGGTCTTGAATTGGATCTGGTTCAACAGACTCACTCGAATCTGGGCCTTCAGACAAAAATGTTACCTACGATTTCTTTGCATTCTACCCCAACCCTAATTTATGAAAAACAATGACAACAACAACAAGAGATTACTCAAAAACCAAGGCAGTAACTAGAAGGAACTGAAAAGGTTGGCAGGAATGTAAATTGAGAAATTGAGACTCCTCCAAGCAGCGGGAGCCAGAGGTAAGCTTCCATCTCAGACAGTCGCTTACAAGCAATGTCTCGACGTTCACACACACACCTCCTCAGATGTCCATGATCTGCTTTCTCTAGCCCCAAAATTGCCACTTAATCATGTGTCTAAACGTCCCCTGAATATTGTCCTTCATAACTCAACTCCTGCTGCTTGCTGCTTCATTTGTTAAAGGAACAGTGTTATGATTCGTCATAGGCATTCCTGAACAGATAGGGATGTTGCAGACATGGCCTCGTGGCTTTCTCCTGCTAATCAACAGCAGAGACACATGATCAGAGGGAATAATTATGCTTGTGGGTATCTGCCTCTAGGAAGAGGCTCACAACTAAGGAGTGTATTCAGCAAAAGGTACCAGCCTGCCCCCGCCCCCCCCCTCAGCGCCACCGCCAACACACACACACACGAAAAAGATGAAAGGAAGCCTCTCTGAATTTAGAACTGAAACTGGTGCTCAAGTGTTGGACTTGACTTCCACACCACTACCTCCCTCCCCCCACCCGCAGCCCCAATTTGAGTTGTATCTGGCCCCTCCCTAGGCAGAAAAGTCATGAACTATGAGCCAGACTGCTCGGATGCAGATCCCAGAACCAGCATTTATGGGCGGATACACTTAACTTCTCTGTGCCTCAGTTTTATCATCTTTAAAATTGGGATAATAATAGTACTTACCTCACAGAATTGTCGAGATCCTCAAATGAGTTAAGGCTGTAAAGTGATTAGTGCAGTGCTTCACACATGACAAGCTCGATATTGTATTTATCATTATTGATCATTGCCTTCTTTGGGCGCTGAACTGAATGCCAGGCACTATTTCGATGCCAGGGATTTAGCAGTGAAGAAGAAAGAGGGAGACCTTGGCCCTCATGCTGTTGGAACTTTCATTCTCATGGCCAATAATTATGTAAATGATTATGTAAATCAGTAATGACAGCTACTTATCAGTAGTAGTCAATGAATAATATCAAATGGGCAAAACTGATTTGAGGGTGTGGAGACGTGTGTTAGCCACAGTGGTCAGAGTGAAGTTGTCTTAGCTGAAGACCTGGAAGCTGACACTGAAAAATCAGGAGAGAGCACCTGGGGGTGAGGGTGATCAGCTTTCCACGGCAGGTGCAATATCAGGGCTAAAGCTAAACAGTGGTGCTGAGCTGACTTTGATGGGCCTGAGGCAGTAGCTGAAGGCCATCGTGGTTGAAATGTTGTAGATATAGGTGAGGGACATGCAAGAAGCAGTCAGACAGGCAGAGCTATCGTCCATACTGTGAGTATTCTGAGTACAAAGACCATGTACTGTCAAGTTCTAGGTCTGGGGCTAAACACTTTAGTCTTGGTTAGAAAATGCATGCATCTTCCTTTGGATACCACCAGGATCCTCCTAAGGCCTCTGCTTCCTGTGTGTGTTGGCTGGAAGGACAAACCCATCACTGAGTTGACTCCTGAAGTATTTTTCTGTCCCACACTCCATCCTAGTGCACTCGTTTTAAGAGAAAAAAGGAACAGAAACAGCATGATTTGTTGGCATGAGCACCTGGATTGATATCTGGCTTCTAATGAACCGTCTCTCATAGAAGTCTCAAAATGGCACATTGCAGGCAACACCCATCCTGTAGACAGTTCTGTATTTCCCAAAGTTTTTCATTTTTAACTAGCATTGTTGCCGATATTTTAAACTTTTAAGATTACCCTTAGAATATGGATTTCCAGCTTATTTTGATTGGAGTGACAAAGCAGATTCCCAGATACCCACAAAGCACCCATCGGCTAGAGCTGAGCTGTGCTTCCTTTAACTGGAGTCCACACTGTTTCCTGTTAAATTCTCCCAGGCCTGCTTCACTCACCCCACTGGTCGCCGCCTGTCCATCCCACTGAACCCAACTTGCAGGCCTCCTGCTTCTAATT